AACGCACAACAACCAATTAGAGCATCTGTACTTGTAGAATGGAGAAGAACAAGCCTTAATGCAGGCTCCCTGGAATAATTCATTTCAGCTACTCATAGACAAGGAGGAATCATCACATGTTCTTCCCTCTTTGCAAGACATTTTAAAATTAATAATTGATATGAGGAAGAAGCACTGATGTATGAGTCCCAGGACAATTGCTTTTAAAGCAGAAGCATATAGGTTTCTTTCCCTCAATCTATGAAGACATATAAATGCTAAAAACAACGACAAAACCAATACAAAATTTAATCCTTTTATTCTATCTGGAGGTTGTGGGGATGGTGGTTTGTAAATAGATACGCAATGTGCTTAAGCTCTATGGGTATATTTGCAAAAGAAAATATCAGTTAAAAATTACTATTTTTTGTAAACATCTGCCAATATGCCAGCATAGTTTGAGAAGCATTTTGAGTTTTTAGCATCATAGTGCTAGAACACAGTAACACTTAGGTTTTGCAAGAGGCAAACTATTCAAACCTTAAGCACCCAAAAGAGATCTGAAAGACCTGCAGACACTTTGGCACTGTAGATAGGAAAAAGTTCTTGAGAGAGGAGGAAAAGTGGCTTTGTCACAACAATAGTAAGAGGAAATAATGGCAGCAGCATGACACAGAACAGGAGACAAGGCAGGAAATGAGAGTACAAGAAGTGAGGACATGCATTTCTATCCTGTGAAAGGACAGAGAACTACTAAAAGGAGGCAGGACGGAACATTTAAGGCAGCAGCAAAGTTTGAGGTTTCCCCTGTCCCCTTCCCCACTTCCTTTTTTGCTTATTGCCTGAATTCAGACAATGAGACACAAAGGAATTATGGATGACGAATCACATTTGCACTTCAACACTTAAATCTACAGTAGAAGAAAGTAAGAATACTAATGCTTGCAAGCTATCATGCCCTGAAAGCAGAGGTACAGATGTACTTTACATAGCCTTTCCCCTCTTTCTCTCCCCAAATGTTGTCTCTGAGCTTACAAAAATTATAGGGTTTAAGACTGGCCCAAAGTTTACCTTCAGCTTCTTGGGTAAGAAATAACCCTGCAAGCCATTATATGGAACAGAATACTTTGTAAATACAAACACAAGACCTAGAAATCTAGTTTCAAATAGGCCAGTATTTCGCTGTCTTTTCCTGCATTATAAGAATCCACAGATCTGTAACTTAGTCTGAAAGATGCACTCGAAACAAGCATTTTGTCACCTCAGCAATTATTTGCTGGAAAGGTTTTTAAAGAGTCAACTATACATTTTAGGTTAGTTTTCTGCCACTGAAACAGAGCCAGAAGTTATTCTGCTAAGGAGCTGGAAATCCACTGGGTCCTGGAAAGCTCTGAACAGTCTGCTTGTCTGCAAGCCAAACATGCCGCAAAGCACTACAATGGGCAAAACAACTACATTTACACAGAATTGCTGTGTGGTTGCATATTGGACCCAGGGGAGACTACAGAATAGCTATACAATTCCAGAACAATGCCACATATGAAGATTGTTGCACTACTGCAGGACTACAGTGAATCAAAAATGCCTTTAAGGTTTACTGCAAGCAAAACACCTCAAGCACGTGTGAAGTAAAACCCTAAGAACTGGACAGAGTTACTTTTTTACTTAAGAAATGTAACATGCCATCTTAACTCAAAGGAACACACTCAGTATTATTAAATGATTTTAAAGCCTCTCCTTACTGCAATGTCTTAGAGTAGCAGTCAGATACGTTCATAAATCTTTCTAAAGTATAATAGTCTTTTTTTTTTTTCTTCCCCTGTTAAGTTTCAGGGAAACTTTTGGACTAAAAGCACCAAGTCACAAGTGTTATTGTTCCTTGCAGCCATCAGAACAGCCATGCAAGCCATTTTAAGGAGTCCTTTAACCTCAAATTTTTTCTACTAATAGTACCAGACACAAACGAGAATCAATTTCTGTAATACTACAGTAAAAATTCACTCACTATTTCTCTTTCTATTTTATCCAAATGAAAACTATTTGTTGTATGTTACCTGAACAGAGTTCAAATGCAGCCAAGACAGCTCCAGGAGAGCACACTTTGCAGTTAAAAATAGTAATCACTGCAGTAATAATTTCCACATAGTGCATCAAATTAGAACATAAGAAGGTATTATTTCCCTTGGCTCTTGGCACAAGGCTGCAAAGGTATAGCTCCAGTACCGTCCATGATGGAATGGTTTGCATTCCTGGTAAGGCAAACAATTCCACCTACCACATACATTGTGGGGTAGAAAAGACTACCATAATCAAAATGAGAGTATGTCTCAGAAATATATCTAAGCTTTCCTAGCCTCTAGAGACAAAAGAAAACCAGTCTGATACATGTGCCTCAGGTTTCCCCATCAGCTAAGAAAATACAGCCATTAGATTAGATACTATAGTAGATTTCAACTTCAGGAAGAACTAAGCCCAGAAAGTATGAAGACTACTCTGATGCAGAACAGTCCCTCCAAACAAATAAATCTATAACCAAACAGATATACATTTACTTTCCTACAATATAAATGGCTTTAGGAGTATTGAGGAAGAACTAACGTATGACAGAAAAACTGAATTTCCTTCTAAGACAGATCTACAATTTTTTAATGCCTATTTTCATCTCCATGCCACCTCTTTCCTTGCTGGAATGGAGTCAGATCTACAGATAATGTATTGGAATACAGACATCTTTCAGGTAAAAACAGGTAAGGTGCTATTCTTCATCACACAATATGCCTACAGATCTGTCTCAATGGTGTTTTTATTAGACCTTACCTTCAGGAAAACAACAGGATCACCCTAAAGGAGGGCAAGGTAGTAAAAACAATGTGAAAACTAAAGTGTTCTCTATTCACAGGACATTTAAACAGTATAAAGGCATTTTTGTCTTCCAGCAGAGTATCAGCATGGTTAATGTAGATATGACAAGAGGTATATATACACACAGGTAGGAGTTCCTCAGTCTTGAAACTGGCGATGCTCATAAAGCACTTTAATGATTTGACAGAAGAGTAACTGTTTAACCTGCTTTGGCAAAGTGTGGCATACAAATTTCTGAATCCAAGAAGAAATCCTGAGCCTCAGAGCAAACAAAAACTTGCCTGCTTAAAGATAGCAGCTATCAGAAAAGTGGGGAATGAAATCAAATGCTCTTTTAAAGAGCTGACTGATTCCTTATCTTGCAGCAAAGCTGACTCCTCAATTTTCCTCTCTATACCAGACCTATAATAGAATGCCACCAATATTATTCTGAAATATCTCTGTGGAATTAATTTATGGAATTAATAATTGTAAGAGGCATTTCATACTGGGATGTCTACATTTTTTAAACACCATTATCAGATGTTCAAGAAAAGACTCAATCCTCTTTCATTTGGATACCTTTCTATGTTCACATTAAGGCAGAAGAATTCAACTTCATGCTGCTCTTAAGACAAGAAACCACAGCTCTTGCACCAAATGGAAGCGTTTTGTTTTGTGACTTATTTTCAGCAATCATAAGAACTTGATTATTTTGCTATGTAAGTAATCTGATTATTTTGTTAAGTAATCCAAATCTATTGATCCGGACCTGTGTTTTGTAACTGGCAGGATCCCATCCGTTTGAAAACTAGGTCTAATCACAGATTAGTCTGTCTCAAAAGATGCAAACTCTTCAGACAAAAACATAAACATAATGACCAGTATTCTCTTTTCTATCTTCTGTGTGGTCCTACTGGAGCAGCAAAGGAGCAGAAAAAGCAAAGTACCTATCACCAGTCACTCAGGAAAGAAGTTGAGTGTTTTGCAACACCCTCAATGCCTGGAGACCAACGCCCTCAAACCGGTACTTGCAAACACAGAGGTCAATCACCAGTTCTCTGAAAACCCATTGAAAATGAAGGCGTTCCTGAATTTCTTAATCTAACTCTAGCACTTTCTACCCTGATGAGTAACATATGGAGAGACGGGAGATCCTGCACTTTAAGGACAAATTTGATTTACTTTCTGACATAGACACAACTATGTCCTTTCCAATGTACTTATGAAAAATGCAGTGAATGTCTGACCACAGTAGAAAACAAGTGTTTTCACAACACAGTAACAAACTCAACTCTCCCTGGTTGTGTACAGGTTGAAGCACACCTTAAATATTTCTGCCGTAGCAGAGGTGATTCATCAGACAAGCAACAATCACTCCACTTTGAGCATGGTAGTGTTACTTAACACAGCCGTTACAGGTCATTTGTCCTTAGAAATGAACGCAAACTCTTGAGGAGCACAGCTAGTCTGATCTATTCTTTTGGTATTCTCTGACCACACACTAAATCATTCCAACTTGCTAAACCACAGAAATAACAATTTAATCACAAAAGAGCTTTTTATTTGGTTGTCAAGCTGATTTTGTCTACCATGCAAACTACCGCGACAAGCGGCATAAGCAAAGGACACAGGACTACTCAGTTAGTTGGAAACCAACTAATAAGAGTAAGGGGGACTTGCCTCATCTGTCTTACGAAACTAACCCTTCCTGGACTTCAGTCATTAAGAAAATTACACCATAAGACCCCTGCAATTGGCTCCAAGGATTCTTACACCAGACTGTGTTCATAATCAAATCTATCCCAGCCCAAAGGAGTTGTTACACTAACACACACTTTTAGCGTTTCATGTATTAGAGAGTACTTCAGATTTGTTCTGGTCAAGAAATGGCTAAGATGACACACATTTCTACTTTGTAGTTAGTTACGTTTCTAGAACTATTAAATTAGAGATGGAGCTAAAGCAGCCTATTGACTTGGCACTTGCAGTCTTAGGTTGCTAACACTCCCAACCTCCTTCAGCAGTACAAAGGCAGGAAAGCGTGAAGTTTCAGGTTCAGGGAGCACTGCTCACTGCAGTGGAAAATGACTGCTTTCATCACTGAAAGTAAAAACAGCTTCTCAAAACCTTTGAAGTGAAGCTCCAGTACATAACTGAGGGATACAAACTCTTCGTACCTGCAGCTATGCGCTTCCCTCTAGCCGTTCCAGTCTTCAGTCTAAAAAATGCAAGGAAAAAAACAGGAATTGAGTACTCTGGAGGTATAATTAGATAATAACAACCATTACAGCATGAACTCCATCTTGTAAAATGCTGAAGCCTGTGAAAGTAAAGCATATTTCTAATAGGAGAAGTTATCACAAGGTAGTAACAACCTTTATTAGACTCAAAAACGAAGTTGTACATTTCAAAAATACAGAGAATATATGTAAGGGCACAAAATAAAGAACTACAAACACGACATGGCTGAAAACAGAAGCTTTGTAGCTTCCTAATAACATTGAATGGACTTACTCTACCTGTCTGGCTTTTTGGTTGTCATGACAGAAGAAGTTACCAACAGCAGCCCCCACAATCCTAAACTCCTGCATTACATTCTTCTGACAGCAGCATCACTAACAGATGACAACCTGTCGACAGGTACTCTTATGTAAGACGAAAACTTATAAGAAAGCTCTGAATTGGGCAACACAAAGAACTAACACCACAAGGAGAAAGGTGTTATTTCTACATCTTAAGCAAATCACTAACCAGGAACCACAGAGATTTTCTGTACAAGCATCTTTTAAGTAGGTGAGACTACTCTGTGATTCAGACTTTTTTTTGCAGATTCAAACCACCCCACAACACAAACTAGCATATACTTAAATGTAAACTTTGGATTTTGAGTTATTTTTTAAAGAATTTCTTCTCTGCTTCCTCCTAGGTTAGTCTGCAAAACTGGACTCATGGTAGTTTAGAAGTATTTTATAGAAAATCCAAATCTGTTCACTTATCTATAGGTGTCCAACAAAAAACTGCATCTGTCTGCAAGGGAAGTTATACAAGGCTATTCAAGTTCCCACATCTTCATTGCTTTGCAGGCCCCTTCATAACCTCTGTTCTACACTCTTTGAGAAGTGTGGATAAGTGATCCATAGCCTCATCTATCTTGTCCTGCAACAAACTTGGATCTTTATCACATGTACTAATGCCCTCTTTTCCAAAAGGAGATATCTTAGAGAAATCTTCATTGCTATTTTGTAGTAATTTTCAATTGTTCTAATTTCTTCCCCAGCTGTTCAGTTGAAGTTCAGGTTAGACATGAGGAAGAAGTTC